TCTCCCCTGGGGTGAGGACATTTAAAATGGGCCAGCAGTTTTGAAAAACACAATACATCATTATTAACATGAATCACCGCATTTTACAACAGGTCTCCTGAACCTGATTCTTATTTGATTTTATATGCTTCATCAAAGTCTTTGATAACCCTTTCATGTGCATTTTTGCATATTCCATGGAAATAAGCTGCTTGCACGAGGCTTGTTGTTTACCTGTACATTTTTTCAGTATGCATTTGCTAAAAACAAGGAACTTCAATGAGAAACACAATTACCACAAAGTAACAACACTAAAGTGTAACCCATGAACTTCAGCTACATTTCATCTTGTTGCTTTTCTTCTTTTATAGTAAAACATGAAAAATCATTTTATAAGGGAATAAATACTCAAGGAGCCAACTGAGGAGCACATGTTGCATTTAATTATACTGGAACTTGTTAAACAAAAGCAATTCTTTCAATCTGTAACTTTCCTTGCATCTTCTTTACAATCATATTTCTGAAGAATACAGGTAGTTTATTTTGGTAGGATCCTGGACAAGTAATATGTCCTAAATACTTTATGCTATAATCTTTTACGTTTTACAGATTTCAAAATTTGAAAGGCGAGACGCAATTCAGTTGGAAAAAAAAAAACCCAAACCAGTAAATTTCAGAAAGGAACTGATTAACAAAGTAATCGATAAAACCGGATTTACCAAGATATGCAGTGATTTCAATAACTATCCTGGGTGTAAAAGCACTAAAATAGAAAACTTAACTGCATATCAAGGCCCCTCCCAGGCTAATCACCTGCACCTCCTCCCTTCCTAGGAGAAAGAGCTCCTCCTCCTGAGTCAAAAAGCTCGACGCGTCACAAACTTTACTCATTTGCAGTCGCCATTTTCTGCCTGATTGGCACCCCCTCCTCTCCAGTCTGTCCCAGGACTCAGGCCACGCCCCCCGAACCCTCCGTCACGAGCTCCGGTTCGTTCCCAACGGTCGGCAGCCGTTCCCAACGGTCGGCAGCCGTGGGCACCGATCCTGCTGACGTCCCCAAAACTTCCCGCCCCCATAGACAGGGCAGACCACGCCCCCAGCATGATGTTGCCAGGTCCACCTTCTTCCCAAGCTCCTAACGGGACACGCTGGTGCGGTCCCACCTCCCAGGACTGCTCCTTTCAGGTCCCGCCCCCACAAGCAGTCCTATTTTGTTCTCAGTCGTTAGGCTAAGTCGTTAGGCCCCTCCCCTTTCCCAGCCAGAGCCATTCACCTCCAGTACGGCCCCGCCCCTCTCTCCAGCGGGCCCAGCAGCCCTTCCCCCGCCCCCTCCAGCACTTCTCCGCGGACCTGGGCTTAGCAAATCCTCCGCGGTCCTTAACGCCCCCGCCGTCCCCCTCTAACACGGGCTCCGCGGCCGCCAATCTCACCAGCTTTCGCCAGTTCGCAGAGGACGCCGTCGCCCATTCTCGCCGTTTTCTATCTGCTGTCGTTGGCTGTCGAGGCCTGGCAGTGCCTCGGACTGAGGCTGTCTGTCCTCGGCCGCCTTTGCGGCCGCAGCTCGGCCCGCTGCGACCGCCGCCATCGCCGTTCGTCCTCTCACTGCCGACGCAACTGAAGATAGGAAGACCCTCGATTGCCACTTCCGGATTCGGAGACCGGAAACGGAAGCAGAGCCCCCCTAGTAACCAGGGGGCTACTGCCATCTTGGAAGTGGACCCCCACTCTCGGACGAGCTGGGGGGCTGGGCGGGCATTAGGCAGAGGACGACCAATAGGCAGGGTAAAGCATCGAGTTGGGAACCAAGACAACTAATGGGTCGTGGGACTCTAACGCCATGTTGAGTTAGGGTAAAAGGTTGTTTGGAAGACCGAAGTCAAGGTTCCAGGGGTAGGTGAGGACAAGGTGGGGTGCTGCAAACAAAGGTCCCCAGTCTTCCCAGCTGTGTACTTTGCTGAAGACTACGGACCTTTGCCCTCGGAGCAATGTTTCTGTTATCTCTACACTACAATGCCCTTCCTTCATTAAACTGCTGTTCTCATCTGTGAAAACTTTGTGCTAGAGTTCTGCATGTCCAAACAGCAGCTCAAGCCTGTGGGTCATTGCATCTCTTCCTGAAAGAAACGTATGCACTAGACTAACAGACTGTAGCATGTTCCAGACACATTAGCCCCAGGCCCTGACTGTTCCATTGGAGTCACAGCAATGATCAGTAATAATCTAACCAGTTGAAGTGCTTTATTGCACTTAAATAGTAACCTCGGGGAGTACATAGTATCCTTGTTGCCCAGGGCCAACTATGCGGGAAGCTGAGGACCAGAAATGCTACCTCACTGCTTCCAGGATAGTAAGTGGTAGTGCAGTGCGCGGTGGATAGTAAGTGGTAGTGTTGTGTGCTGTTCCAGCAGTTGAACCCTGCTTCCAGTGACTTTAAACACCAGGCCAGGGATTCTCTGTGGTGCCAGGTTGTCTATTGGTCCAGGAAACATTCACTGGGGATTCAAAAAGTCCAAACTATTTTCACAATACTTTGTTAATTTCATTCTCTGGTGTGTTTATTGTAGAATTATCTAGAGGCTACCTGATACAGGTAGAAGAAAATTCTTTGGGCCTCTTCCACTTTTTAGAGTGTAAGAGGATCATGACAGCAAAAGTTTGAGAATTGACAAGTTTTTAACCTCCACACTGTTATTTATTTGTTGTGGGGGAACTGAGATGTTTAGTCTTACCCCTGAATTCTACCACCAGTTGTCTCCCAGGGGAGAGAGTGCAGGTGTGGGGGAGAACTGTCCCCAATTGAGAACCATTGTTTGGGTTGCAGTACCTTTGATATCTTCCTCGGTAGCTCCTAGCACCTCCGTGCCTATTGGCTGTCTCCATCTAGATGTGCTGTAATCTCCCCAAGGCAGCCTCATGATTGTGGGGCTGTTTATGACTTCCCTCACTGTCACCACTCATTCCCCACAAGCAGAAACAAACCTTGCCTATCCCCTAGGCCCATGCACACTCACACCTCTCAGCATGACCCACCTCCACTTCCCCACAGGATCTTATTTACCCCTTATTTTCAGCTAGCCTTTGTGACACAGTATGTCTACTGCTGTGATTCCAGCCCCTAGCCAGATCTGACCCAGATGGAGGAAGGGGGTATCACAACTCAGGTGTGTAAGCTTTAAGGAAGAGCTTTCACTTGGGTGTCACCAAAGTGGCATGACTTGGGTCTGGCACATAATAGCTGCTTTTTTGAAATTTAAACGAGCCTCATTAATTTATTATGACAAGTTTGTTTGCTTTCGCCCTATAATAGCTGCTCTTGAAGCCCTGCTGAATCTTGTCAATCTGAATTGATGCTTCTCATTGCCCTTCAGCAGGCTCCCCAGTCTTCATTTACCTGGGCAGCCAGGTAAATCCAATAAATAGTTTTTTGCCCTAGACTTGACTTGTTTCATCTCACAGATGATAGCTTCTTTCAACTTAGAGCAATTGGATGATTTCCAGTCAGTTTTTCAAAAAGATCTAGTTTTATTGGAAAGACAGACTTACACAGAGGGAGAGACAGAAAAATCTTCTGTCCACTGGTTCACTCCCCAAGTAGCCACAATGGCCAGAGCTGAGTCAATCCGAAGCCAGGAGCCAGGAGCTTCTTCAGGGTCTCCCACATGGGTGCAGGGTCCCAAGGCTTTGGGCCGTCCTCCACTGCTTTCCCAGGCCACAAGCAGGGAGCAGGATGGGAAGCGGAGCAGTTGGGACATGAACCAGGTCCCATATGGGATCTCAGCATGTGCAAGATGAGGATTTAGCCACTGAGTCCTTTTAAGGGCAACCTCGTGATGTCCCCTTTTGCAAGGTCTTTGTTTTTCCTAGCTACCCTTCCTGCCAGATATGGCTGTGCTGATTCTACCCAAGGGAAGTCGGCCAAGGAGCTTGTGGAAGTTCAGGCCCATTACAAGAAAATAAGTGGGAAGGATGTCCTGTTTCCCCAGTTTGCTTTCACATTTCTTGGGACATGGAAGCCATAGCACTTTGGAGTCAGAAGCTATCATGAAACTGCTTACAAGAACATAACAGAGGGACCAGTGTTGAGGTATAGCAAATTAAGCCTCCTCCTGTGAAGGTGGCATCCCATATGGCCACCAGTTTAAGTCCAAGCTGCTCCACTTCTGAGCTAGCTTCCAGCTAAAATGCCTGGGAAAGCACTGGAAGATGGCCTAAGAACCTGTGTCCCTGCACCCATTGTGGGAGACCAAAGAGCAGCTTCAAATTCCTGGTTTCAGCCTTGCCCACTGTGACCATCTGGGAAGTGAACCAGTAGATGGAAGAATCTGTAAGTCTGCCCTTCAAATAAACAAAAATATATTAAAACAGAACAAAAACAGGGCAGAGTAATATAAGCACAAACCACCACTGCTGGATTTCAGTACACAATCACTTAGGCTTGCCTCTGTGAATTTGCCTGGTACCACCCAGCACACCTTTAGTCTATCCTCGGCTTTGCTCAATTCAGAAGACAAAGAAAATCAAAGCCTCAACTGTCCCCACTGCCTTTCAAACCACCACATCCTTCCCAGGGTCACCTCATCCTTGCCTTTCACAAAAAAACCTTCCAGCTCTATCAATCTAGTCCTATGTATTAAAGGACTGACCGCTCAATCGACTCAGGTATCCAGAACCTACTCTCATATATTCCCTCTCCAGTGCCCAGTTGGACATGTGACCACAGTGGACCTCTTGATCACATCCCCCAACCCCTGCTTCCATCAGCCTTCCAATGTCTCCCAAGCTGCCCCATGTTTCTGGGTTCACCTCCCGTTCTGCCTGTCAGCTCCTCTAGCATGCCCTGTCTGCCTCGGCTCTGTGTGCCAATACATGTGCAGTCATCAGATGCCTTTTTCAGCCATGTCATATCCCCGGCCCAATTCCAGTGCACTCCTATCCACTGAGTGCCAATGTGAAGTCCTCCAAGGTCTCCTCAATCACTTCAGCTTTGCCCCCACCCCCACAAGACTTGCAGTCAGGCTTTACACTTTAGACTTTTTAATAGTTCATACAGCGATTATGGTGCATTCAGGAACCCAACCCCCCAAACCCCATGAGGAGGGCTCCCACCCCCGACCCCCCACCCCATTTGAGGGCCCCAGGGCTTAGGGTGGAACAAAGGGAGGTAACCACCCAAGGGGACTGACCCCAAAGACTGTCCCTGCCCTGCCTCACCCCCAATCAGGAGTTATGGGGCACCAAGTGGGCACACACTTCTACATGCCCCCTCTGTCCCTGCTTGTGCACATACATACATTATGGCTCCTTGCTGAGTTGGTCAGTTCCTGGCAGGGCCCCTACTCAACAGCACCAAGTGGGAAGGGGGAAGAAGGGCTGGGTGGGGGAGACCCTGAGAAGGAAGGAGGCCCCAGCTACAGGACTGGAGAAGAGTGGGTCCCTCCACCTTGTCCATCTTGCAGAGTCTCCAGTACTCCCCATCCCCCTGCAGCTGGGGATGGCAGGCAGGGGTAGGAAGGCGTTTTGCCGAGGCATGCTTTCCTATAGCCAATCCCAGGGTCTGATGAAGGTCAGGGTTGTGAATAGGGGCTATGTCCCTGCCTGAGAGGCTGGGAGCGGGGCTTCATTGCACAAAATACTGTGGGAGGGCCACACACAGGGGGTGGGGCCCAGCCAGTCTGTATACAGAGATATTGCATTTAAAAAAATGAAAACCTCATTTAAAATAATAAAAAAAAAAATAACAATGAATGAAACAAACCAAAAAAAGGCCCACATAACATGAGGCAGGTGTGGTAGCAGGAAAGCAGGCAGGGGACACTCAGACCCAAGGCATTGCCACCATCTTGTCTGAATCGAGATCCCCAGCCTGGGCTAGTTCCGGACCCCTGGCTGGCCGTGGGGTAGTGGTCCTGGGGGAGGGTACGACGAGGAGAGAGAGGCCTGGCCTCAGTGTGGGAGGCTGGCACGGCCATGCTGTCCGCCGGTAACTACCAAGACAAAGAAAAAGACAGACAGACAGACCAGGCATAGGAGTGATGAGAGCTTTGTTAGCACCCAGGAGACAGGCCAATGGGTGGATTGACAGGCCAATGGTCGGATGTTCGCACAGGCAGCAAGGGACAAGTGGGCAGGTAGGCATGGCTCAGGCAGGTAGGGCAGGCAGCAAGCAGGGAGGATGCGGTTGGGGGCTGCCCTGTGAGGGGTGTGGCATCCCTCCAGCTGCTGCCTGCTGGGGCCTCAGTCTGTGGCTTAGAATCGGCTTAGAACTCGGTGTCCACCACGTGGAAAGCTGGCCTGCCTGCAGGGGGAAGCAGAGCGGATGGCTGTTGGTAGGCAAGCAGGTAGATAGGTAAGACAGGGAAGAGAGGGCATCATACCTACCCGAGTCAGGCATTGACGAAGACCGAAGATTGGCTTCTTTTTGTAGCTGGATCTCCTTTAGTGCAAATATGGAAGTAGCTATGGGTGAAGGAGACACAGAAATGGTGGATGAGCCAAGCACCATCTAGAACCAGCACCCCTGCAGCCTCACTTATGGCAAACTTTGTTTCTTTTTTTCCATTATGGATTGAGTAGGATTTAGCTCCCCAAACTCATGCCTGTGCTTCAACTGCAAAGTGTCTTTTGCTGAGGGTTGATGGATTAAAGGTAGAGACTTGATCTTACTATGGTGTCTGAGAGGTGGGCATGCTGGGAAGTATTTAGGTTACTGGAGGCCTGCCTAATGTGAGATGGTGGGTTATTTAAGCTGAGTTCATCCAGTTTTCTGTTTCTTGATTATCCTGTGACCGTGTACTCACACTCCCTTAATTAGGCCAGATTATTGGAGGTGCCAGATTTTGAGCCGTGAAATCTCGAAAATGTAAGCTAAAATAAACCTCTGCCTTCTCACGAAACTCCTCTTAGGTATTTCAGTTAAGGTAACAACAAGCTCATACATGAGCTTTCTGAAGGAGCCTCAAGTCTACTTCACAAAGGACATGTCTGCTTCAGGATGTTCAATCTATCTGCATGTATCATTTGAAAACTTTCATGAGAGGAAAAAAACTGAAAATCAAGGAATGGTATGCTCATCATAAACACAACCTGTCACCCAGAGTGAGTCTGCCCTTCCCATAGAAGTGGCAGACAGAACCCTACACAGTGCACCTAACTGTCCCTAGCAGCCCTATACCCCATGGTCCCTGCACCAGCTAGTCCATCCCGATGCTACTCACTGTCAGGAAGTTTGTGGATCCGCTCCCCTAGACTGAGGAATAATGGATGTTTCATGGCATCATCTGCGGAGATCCGATTTCGACCCTCAAACTGAATTGCAGAGGGGAAATATTAGCATTTTCAACCAGCAGGCCCCTCTTCCTGCTGGCCTCAGATCCTGACCTTGGGAGTCCAATTTCTCACCTCAGGAATCTCCTACCCACCATGTCTGGCCCAGGAAGGTTGTCTCACCTGCAGCAGCTTGTTGAGGAGGTCAGCCCCATCACTGTCAAGTCTGCAACAAGGACAAGGGGACCTGCTTTATACTGACTGAGTATTCTGGCCCCAGCACCCACCCAGCCAGCCACCAGCCTCACCGGGGTGCATGGCTCAAAAGGGCCTCAGCACGGTACTTGGGGTAGTTGTATGTCTTGAATTCCTCATTGGACAGGATGCCTGGCCATGTCTCCTCAGTTGGGGTTCCTGGCAGGGAAAAAGTGTCACCCAAAACATCTTGCAGGTCCTTCCTGAATGCCCTCACAACTCCTAGGGTTCATGTCTCCTCACCCAAGATGCGAAAGATGAAGTGCAGCTGTTCCTCTACTGTGGAGCCCGGAAAGAGGGGCCGGCCTGTGGCCATTTCATAGAAGATGCAGCCCACACCCCTGAGCGTGGAAGACAGTGAATGGGAGAGGTAATAAGCTGGGTGGCTGTTGTGACCAAGACAACTCCTCCAATGCATGGCCCCAGCCACACTTCCACCTGTCCTCACCACATGTCAATCTGAGTAGAGTAGTCTGTAGACCCGAGCAGGATGTCAGGGGGCCGGTACCACAGTGTCACTACTTCATTGGAGTATGTCTTCGTTGGAATTGACTTGGCTCGGGCCAGGCCTAGGAGGCAGAGAGAAGCGGCATCCGAAATGAGAAGGTTGCTGGCAAACTCTGGGGAAGAGTATAGTTGGGAACAAGGGCAGCTTAGGCAAAGTATGGTGAGGCTCAAGAGAAATGAGACTAGGCAGTCATGGGGAATGAAGAGGCTAACAGAGTAAGGCTAGGAATCAAAGGGAAGAAGCAAGAGGCTGGCAGTACCGAAGTCAGCTAGCTTGAGCTCTCCCCTCTCATTGATGAGCAGATTCTGAGGCTTGAGGTCTCGGTGTAGCACCTTCTGCCGGTGGCAGTAGGCCAGGCCACGGAGCAGCTGGAACAGGAACAGCTGAGGACCCAGCAATAGCAGGCAAAGGTCAAAGAGTTATCTACCAGCCTGACCCCCAGCAAGCATCGCTCCCATCCCAGAACTTTGTCACACAAAAAGGGATAGGGTCCCAAGTACCCTCCAAGGGCTCCCAATAACAACAATTAAAAAAAGCCAAATGGGGAAAGTCCATTTCTTGAAGATTTGTGGGGTGCAATGGGGGGGCCCTGGTGCCCCTGCTTCTAGCCCCACACCCACTTTCACGTTGTGCATGTTGATGATGTTCCCACAGTCATCCAGGTACTGCTTCAGGTCCTTGTCCTGAGGACATAAAAGGTAGGACAGGAACAAGGGTCACATTCTGTCACTCTTAGCTGTCTCTCTACTCCCCTGCAAGTCCCACTGCCACCCAACCTTACCAGATACTCAAAGACAAGCGTGAGGGACTTATCCGTGTGGATGATGTCATGAAGTGTGACGATATTGGCATGTTTGAGATCCTTGAGCAGGGACACTGCAGAGAGCAGAGGAGTGGGATGGAGGAGTCAGGGGCCCACCCCCAGGAGAGGTGAGGACAAGGACTGGACACAGAGGATGAGCCCAGGCTTTCCTTCTTTTCCTGAGCACTCCAGGGTAATGGCTCTCAGCCATCAATTGACCCACCCTAAGGCAGAAACATGTGTCTTCACGTTCCAGATGGGAAATAAGGTTCAGGGATTTTCACAACCAATTTTTGGTTTCTGGGAAGGGGTCCTGCTCTAGTGTTCAGTACATAGGCCTGCAGCACTGTGTGAAACTGAGTTTGCATACTCAATTTGCAATGCAAATTCATTTCATGTGACACTGTGACTATCAACTTTTGGAGCAAGTGAATTGGTGAGGAGTATCGAGGGTGCTGTTAGAACCAAAGCCAGCACCCTGGTTTGCAATTCATTCACCTTTCCTGCAAGCACAAATGGATTCCTGGGGACCCTGATTATTACTCAGCTATATGGTTGATGGGCATTCTCATAAAGGCCTGTGTGTTGGAAGGGGAAGTCCCAGAACTCCATCTCTGTTTACGTCATGGAATAAGGAAGATGTATCATGAGAGCCTGGGAAGCCTGGGGCAGGTGGCCCAGAACTCCAAACCTTCCCGGATGGCCGTGCAGGGTGCTCCCTCTTCATGTTCCAGCCTGATCTCCTTCAGTGCCACAAGGTTGTCCGTGAGTTTGCTTTTGCCTTTGTAGACGGTGGCATAGGTACCCTGGGGTACGAACAAGTGTACCAGGAAAAGCGTGGTGAGGATATTGGGAGCTCCTGCTGACCCTCATCCTCTCCAAGGATCTCCTGGCTGTCTCTCACCTCACCCAGCTTGTCCAGCTTGATGTAGGTCTCCAATTTCCCAAAGCCAATCTCGGACTGTGGGATAAAGTAGGCAGACTAAAGCAGGCTCAGGGGAGGGGACAGGAAGAACAGAAGGGAAGAGATCAGGAACAGAAGGCGCTCACCAGACTGACACGGCGGAGACGGCGGCTGAGGGGCTTGTCAAAGATGGGGCTATTGAGGGTCAGTTTCTCAAGGTAGCCCTCAGGCAGCCGGATATCGGCTGGTAGCGATAGGCGCTTGTTGATATCCTGAAAGCAAGATGGGAGAGAAAGGGACCATGGTCTCCACTTTCCTACTTCCATTCCTCTTTTCCAGTTCCCCCATCACCTGGACAGTGAGCTAAGCACCTCTGTGGAGATCTTGCGTGGAGGGTGGTTGCGCAAGCGCACACGCACTGGAGACTGCACCTCATCCGAGGACGTGGCTGAAGCCTGGTCACTTTCCCCATCAGACCCCATCTTCAAGTCCTCATGCACGATCTCTGGTGGATTGGAAGGGGGGGGTACACCAGAGAGGGTGAGGAATCAGGATGTCCAGGAATGCCCTCTCCCATGCAATACTTTCTCTCATCATATGTGAGCACACATGGTCCCTGGTGCAGCCTGCAGTCCCTCAGGAAGAAAGTGGCAGGGCCAAAGGGATCTTCAGTAGGTCCAGGACACACTGAATGGGGAATGGCACAGGCAGAGGGACAAGAGTCACACAGTGCAATGCCCCATTCTAGGGTGAGTTGAAAATGCAGCCAGCCCAGGGCTAGTGGGCAGGTAGTAGCAGAGGTGGTCAAACTCTCTGGAAGGCAAGTGCCCTGCATAGGGAGGTGCTAGGAGGCCTGAGGAGGCCGCTCAGGGTGCAGAATAACAGACTAAGCCCCTAGCGCAGCTGCAACAGGCCACAGACTTCCTCCCTTGGGGCCTGGCACAAAGCCAAGGACAGGAACATAGATGGACAGACAGAATGCTGAGAGAGAATGGGAAGAGAAATAGAAAGGACAGCTCAAGGGGAGGTCAGGGAAAGGGAAGAAAGCAGGAATGATACAAGATTAAGAGGAACTGGGCTGGAAGGCAGCTGCTGGTAACCAGCCTGGGGTGCAGGAGACAAGGGCTAGTTTGCAGACACACCTGGTGCAGAGCTGAGTGGGCCCCGTCCAGAGCGAGGTTCTCCAGGGGCAGTACGTGTGGGGGCCTCCCCAAGGTCACTGCCACCACCACCACCACTTTCATCTAGGCCTATCTGTTCTGGGGCACCATTGGTCTTGTCTATGCCTCGGCCCCCTCGGAGTGTCATTGACAGCTGCCGTTTGATCTTCTTCATCCGATCCATGGCGACCTGAGCAGGGTGCAAGGCTTCTCCATTAGTATTTGCTTGCCCACTGGGAGGCCCCTGAACCCACAAAAACCTATTGGGGAACACCAACATGAACTTAAGTCAGTGACCACCCAACCACCAAAGACCCATGGCACCACTCAGCAGTCCTGGGAAACCGGTATGGCCAGGGACCCTTGTCAGTGCCCATCATCCCACAGGCAAGTCCTGGTCCCTGCTCCTGAAGGGCTCACCTGAGTACTTAGACTTGGGTGGCTAGCTGAAGGCAGGGGCCCACCAGATTGACTGATGTTATCTGGGGTGGCAGCCTCATTGTCAGAGCAGGGGGCTCCACAGTTGGTATTGTCGGGTGCAGCGGCAGTAGTGGACTCAGGTCTGGCTGGTAAATGGGGCTGGCCAAGAACCATGGACCCATGGCCCTGGGCAGGCCCATAAAGCACCATATTCCGCTGGCACCAGCCCCACATCACCCCAGCTGCCAAGGCAGACTGCTCTCTTGTGGCCAGAAGGACCTCCTGGCTCCCCCAGCAACCACTGTCAATGAAGCCTAATGGGCCCAACCACTGTCTGCCCATGTAGGGGGAGCAGGGAGGCATTTACTCAGATCCAACCACTGGACTTAGACTACCCACTTCCATTTCAATGTAGCCCAGCTGTCCTCAGGGCCGTTAGAAATGTTTGGCCTAGTAGGCACCTGTAGACCCAATCCAGATTTTCATAAACCATATAAACTGTACTAGAGTCCCCTTATCACTCAAAGCAAATGGCTCAGTCCTCAATGTGACCACTTGTCCTGCTACCTCACTACTCCCTGACCATTTCTGATTGTTCTGTAACCAAACCCAGTAGTCTCATTTCAGGGCCACTGCACTGGCTGTTCCTGGTACCTGGAAAACTTTCCCTCAGATTTTAAAATAATTCACTCCTGAACCTTTCAGATGTATTGATCTAATCACAAGTTTCTTACACAGTTTCCATGAATAACTATGTACAATCTCCACCATCTTGGGGCCAGCACCATGACAAAGTAGGTTGTACCTTTGTTTGTGGTGCTGGCATTCCATGTGGGCGCCGGTTCGAGTCCCAGCTGCTCCACTTCCAATCCCCTTCCTTACCAACGTGCCTGTGGAAGTAGCAAAAGATGGTCTAAGCCCTTGGGCTCCTAAACCCACATGGGAGATTGAGAGAATGCTCTCGGTTCCTGACTTCGGACTGGCCCAGCTCCAACTGTTGCAGCCATTTGGGGATTTAGCCAGCAAATGGAGGATCTCTCTTTTCTCTCTCTCTTCCTCCTTTTCTGTAAATCTGCCTTTCAAATAAAAATGAAATAAATCTTTAAAAAAGTGTTTTTATTTGAAAGGCAGATTTAAAAGGAGAGAAAGAGATAAATTCTATCTACTGATTAACTTCCCAAATGGCCACCACAGCTGAAGTTGAGCCAATCCAAAGCCAGGAGCCAGGAGCTTCTTCGGGGTCTCCCACACCGGTGCAGGGTCCCAAGACTTTGGGCCTTCCTCTACTGTTTTTCCAGGTCACAAGCAGGGAGCTGGATGGAAAGTGGAATGGCCAAGACTGGAACCAGCGCCCTTATGGGATGCCAGTGCTAGCAGGCAAGGATTAACCTGTTGAGCCACTACAGTGGTACAAAATAAATATTAAAAAAAAAATTCTCAACCACCTTGAGTTTGCTTATCCTACCAAGTATCTCCTCAGAACTGACTTTCTCCTTAGAAGCAGTACATTTCCTGGTGGGTTTCTTTATTCTTAACTGCTTGTCTCTTCACTGGTACGACTAGATGGCCAGCTCTGCCAGGATCGAGATGTCTTTGTGTTTAGGTCACAGTTATGTCCTGAGGACCTAGAATAGTGACTGACGCAGCAGAGGCTCCAAAGCGTGCCTGGCAGAAATGGTTCAAGCAGGCAGCTGAGGGCCCAGGGGCCATCTCTGCTGAGGTCATGTCTACTACTCCTGAACAAGGCCAAACAAGGGTGGTACAAAACCTCAGCCATCCATGGGAAGATGACCTAAATGGGTTGCGAAAGGACTTAGGGCCACCCCCAGGGCTTGGGCTGGCTCTCTGCTACTTCCTCTGAGGCACTGGGCCAGCAAGGAGGGGGAAAGACCTGGCCCAGGAACCATCTGCACTCACAGTAGGACTTAAGATGGCCCTGGTCCAAGGGAAGTAGAGCTAGATAGGAGGTAGCTGGGACTGGATTTGAGCAGAGAAACGGGTCAGCTGTTACCCTGAAACCAGGTGCTTAGCTAAACAGTTCCCACCACTTCTCCAGCCTGGTTGAATTCAACACCCTCCCTTCTGCCTCAAGGCACAGAAGGACTTACCCGGAGGGTGAGGAGGGGGCCCATCTACACAGAGTCCAAGATAACAAACCAATTCTGGGCCTAAGGCAGAGGAGCACCCAGCAACCCTGCTGCTTTTCCCTGTGTGGTAGGGACTGGAAGAAGGGCTGGGGAAACTGAGTAGGGCTGAGAGGACCACGGGGAGAGAGCTAGGACCAAGGATTCCAAGCAGAAACGCCAAGGTTTGCTAAACGTGTTGCAAAGTTCAGTTGGGGGGGGGTGGATTTTAGGATGACTGGGATACACAATATCTACCAAGCAACACTCCCAATAAGGGGCGTGCACCCTGGACAGCTTCGAGGCACAGAGATAACCTAAACAAAAGCTTTCAGATATTTTCTTTTCAGTTGTCTGAGTTTTTTGTATTTCAGAATAAGAAGGGAGAAAGAAAGCAGACATACAATTTCAACCCCCCCAAAAAGGCTACATGTCTTTCTTGGTCCCTTCTCACCACCTCTCACCGCACAGACCATTGAGAACACACTCCACCACCTGCACTTCTCACTGCACACTTCTCTCCTTCTGTCCTGACCTCGTCGGCACACAGCAGACCCTCCAAAAGGCCTCGCCATACCCTAACTGCTTGTAGCATCCATGAGCTTCCAGCTTACTTCCTGTTCCCGTAGGCATGCAAAGCTCTACGGTAGCATACTCTAAGCCCCTTCCAAGAACTGCTTGCCACAGCATGGTTGGGTACTTTTCTGGCCTGCCCGCTGATGCCCCCCAATGAACAAAGCGCTCCTCCCACATGATTCTGCTCCTTAATATCATCACACCTGGGGTGCTCCACAACTGACCTGCAGGAGTACTCACTGCGCCTTCAGACTGCTCTGCATCCCATTAGCACGAAATGAGCTGGTTGTGTCCGGTTAGCCCTAGTCACTGCCACACATTCCGTTCCTCCCAGGACCCTATCACAGGCAGAACCTTTACCTTGACCCCTATTATCACATGCTGGGCCTCACACAGTGCTGCTCTGTAGTTACTCAGCCCTATTCCTCAGGGACGCACAAACATACCATTCTGTAACAGCTTGACCCTGATTAGTGCACAAAGTTCTTCTTTCAACCTTGACCTTCATTAGCACATTCTTTAGCTCTCCCGGGCTCTAATCTGCTTTAGCACATCCAGACCACCACACAGTCCCATCCTCTATTTTTGCCTCTGCTCATTCATACTCATTAACCCCTGTTGGTTCACACTTGGGTCCCTTCATAACCCTGCTCCTCATTTTTACACACTAGGGGCCCCTCCAAAGCTCTATCTCGTATCAGCAATCCCTTGAGCCTCCACACATTATAGTTCTCCACGGACACAAATACAGTCTTCAAGATGTTATGATGCTTACAACACATTCCAGAACTCATACTGTTCTGGCTCTCCCTCTGCTGACATAACATATTAAGTGCCTCTAAGAAGGGCCAGAGCTGTGACACAGCAGGGTGAAGCGGCCACCTGGGACACCCATATCCCACATGGGTACTGGTTCAATTTCTGGCTGCTCCGTTTCTCACCCAGCTCCCTGTGACTGTGCCTGGGAGAGGTGCAGAGGGTGTTCCACATGACACCCCTGGGAGAAGTTCTTGACTTCAGCCTGACCTGGCCAGGCCGCTGCAGCCATTTGGAGAATGAACCAGCAGATGGAAGATCTCTCCATCTCTCCCTCTGTAAATGCCTTTCAAGTAAGTCTTTTTTTTTAAGAGCCTCTAAGCTCTAAACTGACACTAGCAGTCACTAGAACTTCATTAATTCCTTGCATCTTTTTAGCTAAATCCTGCATTCTCTACTCTTCACAGACACTCTCAAGGACCCTGATCCGCAGTGCACTAAGCCCCTCACAGTGCTAACACAGTTCCTTCTCCACTGCTCCCACCCCCACATCTACCTGGGCCTGCAAAAGTTCATGAAAAGATAAGCCTTCCATGAACTTCTGGAAACACACACAATTCTGATATCTGATGGTACAGGGTCAGGTCTTCATGACCCACTCAGTAGATCCATCTGCCACTCTGCCCCCATTAGCACAGATTGTACCTTATGCTATCCACACCTTTCAATACCACAGGTACGCACCCTCCGCAGCTGTGACCACCCAGTCCCCCATCAGCTACTCTGCACTTGGGTCTCTCCAAGGCCTGTCCTTTATGAGTACACCCCAGGGAGAAGCAAACATTACCACATACTGACAGAAGACTGGCGGAAGGGGGGCATCAGTGCCCGAGTTCCACTAGCACACTTTTGGGGACTTCCACCATTCCTACTCATCATGACACACTGCAGCTTTCTACGAATGTGGCCTCCACTAGCAAGTCTCACAACTGTCCCCTGATACCCTAGCCCTGTTATCAGAGACCCCGTGGGCGCTTGCCATCCTGCATCCCTCTTCCAGGAACACACAGCAGGCTTCAGACCTTACCCAGCCCTAAGGCATTTTTAGCACATGCTTGCACCCCTGCAGAGGTCAAGTCCCCATTAGCAAAGCTCCAGCCTTTCACCACTCTGCCACCATTTCCAAACTCTCTGGTCCTTAGACCACCCCTATAGTTCTCACAGCACTCCACATCCCTAGCTGCCAGGGCGGCCCCAGGGCGGGGCCAAGGTCAGGGAGGCCCCAGATGACCCCCTGTCTTAGTGCATTCTGGGAAATTCGTTGAGGGGAGGGAACCCCTGCCAACGCTACAGGCCAAACCCTTGGGCACAGCCCGGGGTCGCATTGGTTCCATGAGGCGCAGCCCCCACCCCACGTCTCGTTTCGGGGACGCGCTCACCGGCGGGGGCGCGCGAGAAACCTCAGAGCCGCGGGGCCGGCGCGGCGGCGCCTGGGGCGGCGGCCTGGCCACAGGCCGCACGACCTCCTTCTCCTCCTGTTCGCCGCAGGCGCCCGTCCCAGTAGTCTTCGGCCATGGCTGCTGGGCCCGGGCCGCCGCCGGCTGAGGAGGAGGAGGCGGCGGCGGCGGCGGCGGTGGCTGAGGCGGAGGCGGCGTCCCGCTCAGCCGGCCATGAGCTTGGCCGCTGTGGGCAATGCCCCCGGGCTCCTCGGCACCGACTCGAATCCGAGTGCTCACGGCGACTCCCGGGTCAGAGCCGACTGCTCACAGAGACGCGGATCCCAGGGCCGAACAGGCAACGGCCCAACCGCCGCGCGCGCCGCGCTCCACGCATGCGCACGCACGCGCTGCACAGGGCGAAGCGGAGAGGAGGGGACTCACCTCGGACTGCATGTACCAAAAGGCTCGTCTGTAGCGGGAGGAGGTGCGGCCATCGCGCACCCACAGAGGAATGTGGCGTGAGCCCGGGAACGGCGCCAGCGCCAGAGGGACAAGTGTAGAGATTGCTTAGTACTAGGTTCGGATCTTGCCAGAAGTCGGCTCGCGCCGAGGTCAGCAACAGCCAGTAACCAGGCGTGCCAGTCACCACTCGTTCCCCCTATTCGGTCTCATTTGGTACACCCCATGGTGGTAAACGGGGAGTTTTGCTAGATGAAAGACAAATGAGGTTGTCAGTTTTGGTCCCTTGAGGTGCTCCGGGAGGCTAGAATTTTAAAGGTTCCTGAGAAGATGACTTTTCTAGGACAGGCGGCCTGGATAATGATTGCCTAGCACCTTAGGCAGGACAGGCTAGCCCCGCCCTGCTGCTGCCTCCACCGCTAGCTCCCTCTCCACTGTGAACGCTGGCAGCCCCGCCCTTTGAGGCTGTCCCTCACCCAATGGCGTTGACTGCCTGTAGTGAGGCAGAGCAAGAATGAAGGGCGTGACTGAGCTTTTTGGCCCCAGTGCCCACTGCCTGCAAGTTTCTGATTGGTTTTCACCCTCAGGGCAGGGCAGGGGGCGTCCTTTTTGTTCTACGCCCTTCTCTCACTACCGATCACAGAGTCCCCCAGATGATTAGTCAAAAGCGTTCAGTGGACTTTGTTCCGCCTCTATTCGCTCCCTCAGCTCTTTAACAGGTCTCTCAGAGCAAAGTCCAAGTTCAAATGACAGGAAAGAGGCAGCCCCCTTACAGAGGTGGGCTCCGTTACTGCGCAGGCTTGAAACTTTGAATGGGGCGGGGCCTCTCCTTCGCCCCTCCCCTCAGTATTTGCATTGACGCTGATGACTTTTCTGGCGCGGCTCTTCTACCCCTTCTGGTCCGCAACAGCCCTGCCCCCACGGTTCTCCTCTGCGGTTTTTTATTTGTTGGGCGCCGGCTGTGTGCCAGGCACTTCCAGACGCACCTAGTCCATCTCTCCTCTCCTCGCTAGGAAACTCCCACCACGTGCCCAACTTCAGCTGACACGGTGGCAGCCTTCTGAGACAATCCTTAGGCTCCAGAATAGTCATCTCCCTGCCTCTTCTGGGCTTCCCTTTCTGACAGCCTTGCTCTAACCACTAAGACTTTTCAGTAAGCTGCATAGTATGGAAACATTTGACGAAGTCCTTCCCACGGGTTGTGCTATCAGGTGCATGTATGACTTGCCTCCTACCTTTCTTTCACTCCAGCCATCCTAACTTCCTCCTAACTCTTCCTAAGTCAAACAGAATCCAGACGCGGAGACCTCAGCACTTGCCTGGAATGCCCCTGCCCTATACCCACATGCCATGTTTCCTCACCTCTTTCAGTTCCCCCACATCAATGCCACCTGCTGCTTCAGGAAGTCTTCCCTAAACACCCCATGTAAAGTTCCTACCTGTGGGCCCAGCGGCTGAAGTCCTCACCTTGAATGCGCCAGGATCCCATGTGGGCACCGGTTCTTGTCCTGGCAGCTCCACTTCCCTTCCAGCTCCCTGCCTGTGGCCTGGGAAAGCAGTCGAGGACGGCTCAAAGCCTTGGGAGCCTGCACCCGCGTGGGAGACCCGGAAGAGGTTCCTGGCTCCTGGCTTTGGATCGGCACGGCACTGGCCGTTGCGGTCACTTAGGGAGTGAATCATCAGACAGATCTTTGTCTCTTCTCCTCTCTGTATATCTGACTTTACAATAAAAATAAAAAATAAATCTTAAAAAAAAGTTCCTACCTGTATGGCCATTAGATAGACCAGGTCCCTTAGACCTGGTTCTCTTCTTCGCCCTCTGAACTGATGCACTCCTAATGCACAATTTACCATGTTGATTGCCTACTCTGGATCTTAGCCTACATAAACAGATAGGACAAGATTTTTTTCTCCCCATGCTGTGTCTCAGGTGTCTCTAACAATGCCTAGTATCTAACTCTCGCTGAATGTTGGTTGGAATACACAGTTCAAGAGACAAGAGACCTCATGCCACCTTGTGCTCTGCACCTGCTGGATGCAGAGGGCTCAGTCTTGTAACCAGCCACTGCCTGCTGAGCCCTGGGCTATTTGGCCAGTGCTGCAATTGTAGACAAACACAGAACACTGTCCCTGGGAAAGGTTATGAGGAGGCAGATACTGAGACACAACCAGGACATGGATGACTCAGAAGCTGGCTTTCATGGAAGTGGCTATCAGGCTACAAATACAGTGAAATGGAGGAGTGTGGGGGGAAGAGAAGGGCAGCATGGTGGTGTAGCAGAAAAATCCTCTGATGGTACATGTATCCCACATGGGAACTGGTTCTGGCCTTAGTCGCCCAACTTCTTGGTCCAGCTCCCTGCTGCTGGCCTTGAAAGGGAGCAACAGGTGGGGGGTCAAAGCATCAGGACCCTGCACTCACATGGGAGACCCATAGGAAGTTCCTGGCTGTTGGGTTCGGACTGGCCGAGCTCTGGTCATAGTGGCCATATGGGGAGTGAACCAGCTATATAGATCTCTCTCATCTGTAGCTCCTTCAAGTTAGGTAAGTAAATCTCTACAATTTATTCTTTTATTGGAAAGGCAAATTTATACAGAGAGACAAAGATCTTCCATCCGCTGGTTCACTCCCCAAATGACAGCAATGGTTGGAACGAAGCTGATCCGAACCCAGGAGCATCTTCCACGTCTCCCACATGGGTGCAGGGTCCCAAGGCTTTGGGCTGTCCTCTACTGCTTTTCCAGGCCACAAGCAGGGAGCTGGATGGGAAGTGGAGCAGCCAGGACAAGAACAGGGGATGCTGGCACTTGCAGGAGGACTGACCAATTGAGTCATTGCAGTAGGCCCCATTAAATCTTTTTGTTTTTTTGTTTTAAGTGAAAGGTGCCGTCTGAGTGCTGTGGTGGTGAAACAAAAAGAGAACACAGTGAGGAAAAAGAGGACCCAGTGAGGAAGTTATCTAGAGTATCTGTGAGTGTTGGAATAGAGGAGAAAGGGGGCACAGAAAAGTCTGGGCAAGCCTCGGTGGCTGTAATGGTGGAGTCAGTGGGCAGAGCTATGGAACAACAATAATGGAAAAGTGCTGTGGAGGTACAATGTCTACACCTAAGACAGCTGGTATCATTACTAAACAGGAACCAGAGGGGGCTTTCGTCCTCCATGTCCTGGTATGGAATATGTTGGAACTATGGTAGGATGACGTTACCCAAGCAGAACAGGCCAAGGAAGTAATAAATCCTGAATAATCCTGAATCTCAGGAGTGAGTGGAGTAAGGGGCACTGAGGGGTAGGACCAGAAACTGCTGTCTTGCTAGGTTAAGAAGCAGAGGTACACCTAACATCCTTGGGTGCTAGAAGCCAGGGAGGAAGGAAAAGATATCGAAGTGGCCAGCCAGATCGGTACTGTGAACTGCCTCGGGTGCTGAGCCTAAGCCAAGGCTGGGCAAGGGCAGCTCTCCAGTTCTCATGGGTGATGGGGTATGTCTCCCACTATAGCTGATGCACATCCCCACAACCCCCTTAACCAGCTCTCTTATTCATGGCAAAAAGCCTGAGGATCCAGTCGCAAATGCAGTAAGTACACACAGTCCAGGAGCCAAGAGGCCCAATTGAGGCAGCAAAGGGCCTTTCCTCTAACAATGTGCTCAGCTGAATACTGTTAAGAAAAACTGCCGGGGATGCCTCAAGGCACTGGGAGTTAGCAGAAGCCTCCCCTCCACCTCACCCCCACCAAGAAGGGACACTAAACAGCATCACAGGCATATCCAATGCCGGCAACCAGGACCTGCTACGAATGGATATCCACAAGGACATAAGGTCTCAGTCCACCTGGCAGCCTTGTCCCCACAGCTCTCCTCCCTGAGGAGGAAGTCAGAGTATAGAGGAGGCAGGACAGGTGCCCAACTGAAGAATCAGCGTCATGTGGGCCCAGGGACCTGCTCACTCCAGCCTCCCCAGTGCCTTCACCTCCTCCTAAGCAGAAAGGGCTGGCAGAAGTAGCAATCCCCAGGAAATTGGCACCGGGAGAAGGAGAGCTCAGTGTTTTGGATGACCCTCTGAATCACTCAGCGCCATGAAACCTCTGTCCTCCCTGGAACCAGCAGGGCAGGCCACGTATGGGTTAATTTTTTTTTTTATTAGGATTCAGGTTCCAAACAAGGTAAAAAGCAGTGGCAAGAAGGGTTCGGGATAGGTAGGGGATGACAAAGGAACACCAGGCCTGGCTAGGTGGGCCACTGCCGGAGGCCAACTGGGAACCCGGGGTTGAAAGGGATCGGGAACAGGTTGTCGGGCCGGCCTAAAAGAGCAGACGAAGGTTAGCGGATGGTGTATCGGACATAGGGGACTTCGACGTCCTCGCCGCTCTCGTCGTTACAGCACAGCTCAAGCACCAGCGCTCTCACATGGCGGCCCAGCTTTCGCTTTGACACGCGGCTTACAATCTCTGTCATCCTGAGGAGGGGTAGGGAGTGGGGTCAGAGAGGCAGATGGCAGGACAGGAAGCAGGGGTGGGTGGGTGGGTGGGCAGGCAGTGAGGGGCACAGGAGGTGAGAGACAAAACACAGATAGCCGCAAGTTGAAATGTCCCAACCCACACACACAAAGCCTCCCTAGCATTCCCTGCAACCAACTCACGGCTGGTCCAACCGTTCCTTGAGCTTCGCCGCTGGCATGAAGAAGGAATAGAGCATGGATACACCCTGCGACAGCATGGTGATCTCCAATTTGTGCTCTGTCTGGAAGAGTTATAAGACAGGTGACAGCAGGGTTATGGGAATGAAGAGGCCAGCCAGTCACCTGCAGACCTAGCTCACCAGATGCGGATGAGTGAGGAAGGGGGCCTTACCTTAAAATAGTCAAGGAATTGTTTGAGAGTCATCTCCTCACCATTGGGTTGCAGTCCCTGAACCTCGAAGCGATCCCACAGTGTCCATTCTTGGTTATAGTACTGTGGGACAAGGTTACAGTAGGAATGGGGCTGAGATGGCCCAGCCGCCTGTGTGGCTCCCACTCCCCACTTCGGCATGCATGTTACAGCAGATCCCAACTCTTGTTCTAATCCTCCTGGTCTCCTTCACACTCTGAGCACCGAAGCCCTTAGGTCTAAGAGGCTCTCAAGCCACTGCGATCTTGTTTTCTTCTCATCTCCCACCTGCCTGATGCTCTCACTCACTCACTCTGCTCTATCAACTTTTTATTACCCATCTGCACAGAGAAGGTGCGGCACAAATATTTGATAGAATAAAGGAAGCAAGCCAAGTGAACAACATACAAAGCATCCAATAGATATTGACTACTATTACTGTACAGTTATAAATATTCTCCCAGGGCACATTCAAGCATCTCATTTTTAATGAGTTCCTTACGGGCAGAATCACACTGGTGCTTAGTACAGGTCAAATACTCAAACAACCTGATCAGTAAATGAATGACAAGGCACATACAAAAGGAGTACGTATGCATCAACAGAAACTGTCACCTGGTGACAGCATATGATGTGAACCAGAGCCAGCCCTACAGACACACCCCACCCAGAAACTCGGCTGCTGCCGTAAGCCCATACCTGGTGACGTGGTGCAGCCAGCGGTTCAGAAAAACCGAAAAAGGGCAGGGCCAAGTTAAGGAAACCATTCTTGTAGGATTCGAGGTGTCGGTGCCCCTGTACTACCTTGTACAGCTCCAGACACACAAGGCCAACGACAGCTGCTGTGGTCGTGGCAATGGCTGGGATGATCTTCCCTGCAATCAGTTTGCTCTGTGGGATGGGAGGGGACCAGGAAAGTGGGAGGTAATGTAGCTGCAGGAGGCTCAGGGTCAACACGAGGCCCTGAATGAGGGCATGTCAAGCCTGAGCAGGGCGTGGGGGACACCAGATCTAGATTCCCCTCACCTTGTGCCTGTCTGCAGGGGGAATATCATAGTTTTCGGCTCGGAGGTTGGAAGCAGCCACAATGAAATCCATATGAAAGTTTCTATCATCATCCTGGTGTGAATGGGAAGACAGAAAATGAGAAAAAGGTTTCCTAGTTTCCCCCTGGGAACATGGGTATTTTCTAGCACAATATCCTGCTTAGATTCCCCTAGCTTACAAAGTCATAGCTCGGAACACCTACTCATTGAGAGCCATGAGGCAGGTCCTGTGGCCTGATCTCCACCAAGGCTTGGGGGCTGGCTCCAGACCCTCAGACACTTGTTTTCTCCCACCTGTCCGTGCTCAGCTCACCCATTTGCCCTTCCCAGGGTCCCCCACCCAGCACCTTCTCAAAATCAATGGGGTACATCTTGAATCCACGGAGCTTGTCGGGACTGGGCAACGTTGCCTTAAGTTCCTCTAGACGACTATCATCTGCATGAAGAGAGGGGACACCATCAGCCTGTCGGCTCCGGGACAGGGTCTCAGGTGGAAACTGGAGCCCAGGGTGGGGCACAAGGCAAAAAGGCAATACAGGATTTGCAAAGGAGTGACAGGGTGTCGATGGGGCAAAGGGGAAAAGTGGAGCGGGAAAAAGAGTGCAAATTAGGGCAAGTCAGAAAGAAGCAGAGGGCATTAAGAGGAATCTCTAAAGACAATGAAGAGGGAAATGTAAACATCAGGGGGCACAGAGATCTGGGAAGACACGGCAGACTAACCATAGGAAAGCAGGGGATGGAAAAGATCCATGGAAAGTAAGTTGTAAGAAAACATAGATGTGCACACACAGGAGGGATACAGAGAGGGAGGCAGAGAAGGTACAAAAAGGGGAAGGGGATGAGAGTATACATGAGCATGAGAGGTGAGAGAAAATACACAAAGAGAAAAACCAGAAGACACACACAGAGGAACATGAAGGACTCGCCATTTCCATAGGAAGATGGGAGCATGGAAATGGATGGGGGACGAAAAGGGCAAGGTAGGGGAGTTAAAGGGCTACAGGTGTGAAAACGCTTAATGTGAAAAAGTAGGATTTCACAACTTTTTACACCAAAATATGCTTCTCTTTTCATTTTACTTTCCAGGGTACTTTTGAAGGTACCCTTGTGTGTAGATCAGCAACCAGTAAACTACCATAACAGGCTGAAGGCACACACCGGGAAACCCAAGGACAGGAGGAGTGGGAAACCCAAGGGCAGGAGGCGTGGAAAGGGAGGTAAGGCAGATAAGGAGGGAGGAGAGGACCTGAGGGTGGATCACACCCCCTAGATGAAAAGATCAGGAAAGAAAAGCAGAACTAAACCAAGGCTGGTCCACCCAGAGTAAACAAACAGCTCTTTCTCCTGAGGGCAGCCAGGGTAGGAGAAGGTGGGAGGTTCATTTGCACTCAATTGACCTTCTTCCTGTAAAACAGGAGGGCAGGCTGGAAGGAAGCAAGGTGTGGGTCAGCCGGCAGGTGGAGGGGTGGTCACAGAGCCAGGAGCAGAGGACTGGTGGGGGAAGATGGGCTAGGACGGAACACACATGGGCGGCGACTCCTGGCCAAGTAGCCAGGCACCCTCACCAACAGAGGCATTGGCACTCTGCAGCTCTTGGTCAGAAACGTGGATCTTGACTCCAGACTTGGGAGTAAATTCGGGGACCTGTACAGACTGCAGCAGTACGGCCACGGCAGCTCGGTCCTGAGAGCCTGCCAGCCCATAGGTTTGGGCAAACAGGTTGGCAGCAGCCATCACATAATCCAGGTGCAGGGGCTGGGAAGGAGGAGGACAGGGGAGTGGGGGAGGGACTGTGAGTGGTGCAGATCCACAGTGTGCAACCACCTCCACCTTCCCAGACATCCACCCTCCACCTGAACCCAGGGGACCCCCAGGGAGTAGACTTACGTTGCTAACATCGAAGGTGAGTGGGTGAGGACAACGTTTAGGCCCAGACCAGAAGGGCGCTCCCGAACTTGTGAGCTAAGCAACAGAGACACTTTTGAGGAACAAGACCAGAGAGTGGAGGCCTCTCTATCAAACCAGACTCCTTGCCTTGGCCCTGGATGTGCCCCACCACACTATCCCTGGCAGGGCACTAGAAAGAGGCATCAGTCACCAAAGCCCTAAATTGCAGGGATCCATCGATGAAGTTCCCAAGCTAGGCAAAACCAGGGACCACTATCAGGTCCTGGCCCCTCCCCCCACTTTATCACAGTCAATTTAATGGACTCTTGAGATTGACCAGGCATTGTACTAACCCAACAGCTAATCATTACAGCCAACCCCTATTCTTTCTACTTCAGAGATGAGCAAGCAGAAGTGTAGGCATAAGTTGTGCAACTTGTCCAAGCTCAGGTGAAGCTAGGATTCGAACCCACAATGATTTCTGTGCTCTTGACTCTATTAATTCTTACCCATAAACCCTACAGGGCTGACTGGGAGTTGGACACATATGACCCAAACCATTCCATAGGGAAGGGAAACAGACATGGAGTCTCTGGCTCCAAGGAGCAGGAATGAGAAAAAAATAGGCCAGGTTTAAAGGCTCTTCTGAGATTCCCACGCCTCAGGCAGACCCATGAGTCTGCAGGGGGGATACAGTCTGCTAAAGGGAGCCAGCAAGCAGGCAATACCTGGTCGGGAGGGAAGTTGTGCAACAGCTGCCGGATATTGTTAGAGTACTGGGTGTGCCAATGGTGGCAGGCCCAGGTCACACAGTCTGCCCAGTTCTGTGGTCGTTGCAGCACCAGGCTCCGCTGCACAGCCTCCAGCACCTCCAATGGCTGAGTACCCGCCAGCCGCAATGTCCGATCCACAAACTTGGGGTCTCTATCAGGAAGCAAAGGGAGGGCAAAAGGTGTGAGGGGGGGAATGAAGTACACTCTGGGACAAACCCAACCTTCCCCATAGAAAGCTAGCTGTGACCACTGAACAGCAGGAAGCCCAAGCATTTGCTGCCTTGATGGAAAAGCATGGTTGGTACTGAAGGCAGAGGTGGCAGGCCCCGGAAGACAGCGAGAACGCATCTGATTGACTCACGTGAGGTACTGGTTGACATTTTCTGCTGGCTGCTTGAAGAGGCCTTCAAATTCATCCCGAGCCCACTGCAGACAGAGCATAGATTAAAATGGGATGAAAAAAAAAAAAAAAAGGAAAAAGAAAGCTAACAAGTAACAACCTGGGGTTTCAGACGCAATCAGTGCAGTAACAAAGTAACCAACTGCACAAGAGCCCCTAAACCACTGCTCCAAAAATGTTGAACCCTTTTAAAGATGTATTTATTTGGGGGTGTGTGGGGGGGAAGATGTAGTTACTTGAAAGGAACAGTTACAGAGACTGACAAGAAAGGAAGAGCGAGACCCTTCATCTGCTGGTTGATTCCCCAGACGGCTGCCAGGGGTGAGTTGGGTTAGGCTGAAGCCAGGAGCCTCATCCAAGTCTCCCACGTGGGTACAAGCACCCAAGCACTTGGGCCATCTTCATCTGCTTTCCCAGGTATATTAGCAGAGAAATGGATTGAAAACAGAGCAGACTGAAACAACATCCACATGGGATTGTGGCATTGTAACTGGCAGCATACTTTATTATGTTGCAATGTTGGCCCCCAAATTTTCTCTTAATTTCTGTGTACCTCACTCTAGGTACATTATGCCTTGATAACACACATTGGAAGAGAGGTATTACAAAATAAATTAAAAAAAAAAAAATTCAGGGCCAGCACGATGGTACAGCAAGTTAATCCTCTCCCTGCAAGTGCCAGCATCCCACATGTGTGCTGGTTTGTGTCTTGGCTGCTCCACTTCCCATCCAGCTTTCTGTTGGTAGCCTGGAAAGGCAGCAGAGGATGGCCCAAGTCCCTGCACCCCTGTTCCCCTGTGGGAGACCCAGAAGAAGCTCCTGGCTTTGGAGTGACCTAGCTCTGGGCACTGCGGCTTTTTGAAGAGTGAACTAGTGATGCAAGATCTTTCTCTCTGCCAATAAATAAATAATAAATGTTTTCCAATAAGCAAATCTTTTTAAAAAATGAAAAAAAAATTCAAACATAAACCACAAATGATCCCTATCCAGGCCCTGCAGTTTCAACAGAACACATGCCAGAGCCTCTGTCCTTGAGAATTTCCAAGAGGGTCAATGCCGTCATCAGCGAGCTGGTCTGGAGTATACAGGTCTGGACAGTAGAGATCCAGGTGCAAATTCCAGCTCTGCCATACAGGACTTCATTTTGTGACTTTAGGACATCTAACACCCCCAGCTCTGTTTCCATCTTTGACAGTACATATGTAACAGTGAGTTACAACAATGCCAGCCTAAACAGTAAATGCAACCTTTACAATAACCCTGTGAGGTAAATGTTATTGTTAGCTCCAGATCTAATTTGACAGAGGAGGAATAGGAGGTACAAAGAATTTCAAGTCCCATACAGCCTAGTGAGACTGTGGTGGCTGCACACACACACAGCCACCCTAGAACCACAGGGTCACAAAGGAAGCTTCCAGATAGAATAGGTTCTTCCTTCCCCTCCCCAACTGCTTCCCACTCTCATACTATACTACTACCTAAACATTCTTAATAAACTGGCCTCAAACATTGCACTACGAATCATTCTGTCAGTAGCTAATAATTCTTGGGTTCTATTTCTTTTTAATTAAAATGATATTTAAAAGGAACAGACAAATATCTCATACGTTGGCATAGTCCCTAAGTCCCAATGATAACTGGGCCAGGCCAAATCAAGAAAACCCATCTGGGTAACCGTGTAGGTGGCAGGAACCATCATCAGATGCCTCCCAGGCACATCAACAGGAAGCTGGATTGGAAGTGGAGGAGGGATTCACTCTCGGGCACTTCCTTAGGGTATGCAGGTACTCAAGCTATGGCTTAACCTATTTACTGCCTCAATATGCCAAGCCGGCTTGGTTAGGTTCTGTTTTGTGGATCAGGTCTTGGTCGCCTAAGACCTTACTTTGTAAAGCTTTAGCTAAATGATATGTACACTGTCCAGCACATATGCACATTTTACACACACACACACACACACACACACAGTCACCCTAAGAGGCCAACTGTTAACTCATTTTGACCAAATGCAGCGGAATATGGACTGAGTCTTAAGACAAATTGCTAGAAAAGATGGTAATAAAAGTGGAGGCACTGGCACAGTGACTTTTTAGGCTAATCCTCCACCTGCCGATGGCTTGGGAAAATAACAGAGGATGGCCCAAGGCCTTGGGACTCTGCACCCATGGGGGCAGCCAGAAGAAGCTCCTAGATCCCAGTTTTGGACTGGCTCAGTTCTGGCCATTGTAGCCATTTAGGGAGTAAACCAGTGGATGTTAGAGCTTTCTGTATCTCCTCTCTCTCTGTGACTCTGGACTGCATCCTATATGTGTACCAATTGTGTCCTGGCTGCCCCACTTCCCTTCCAGCTCCCTGCTTGTGGCCTGGGAAAGCAGTCGAGGACGGCCCAAAGCCTTGGGCCTCTGCAAGACCCAGAGGAAGTTCCTGGCTTTGGATTGGTCCAGCTCTGGCCACTGCAGCCATTTGCGGAATGAACCAGTACATGGACAATTCTGGGTAATTCTGTCTTTCCAATAGAAATAAATAAATTTTTTAAAAAGAGAAATGACTGGTACATTTTGTTCAGCATGAATGTATGGTTGTTTTGGTTACACACCAGTTCTCTATTGGGAATGATTTGTACCACCTCCCTCCCAATAGATGTTTGGCACCTGCCTGGGGACATTTTCAGTTGTTTCAAACAAGAGACTATGGCATTGCTGCATGCATCTAGTGGGCAGAAGCCAGGAATGCTGTGGGACCTCCTTGATATAACAATGAGCTGGCCCCAGAGGTCACAGTGCCAAGCTGCTCCATAGGAACAAATCTTCCTTTTGCAGAGGCACACAAAGGCAGCAGGGAGTCAAGTGTTGAGATGGCCATGACACACCCCAATGGAAAGGAGAGACAACATCAACAAAAGTACGAATATAAGCCAACAATATGGCAAATCCCTGACCACAGCTAAACTTGGGTATTCATTGTTGTACTCCTCACACTTGTCTGCAACCAGAGGGGGGAAAAAAAAAATCACAAATGAAAGTGAATAATGAATCATCCCCAAAAGTGGTGCATGCAGCTGGGTGGAGGCGAGGTGGCGGCGGTCTGAAGAAAAGCACCGCTTAAACTCGGGCATGCACCACGCGGGTGCTCCAGGCACTGTGGCAGGGAGGCAATCCGGGTGCTGCCCCTAGTCCCCTTCCTCTCGCAGCTGCGCACCTGCAGAGTGTGCTCAATGGCATTAGGGAAGTTCTTCAGGGTACAGATGGGGATGGACTTCTCAGGTGGGTCTTGGCTGGAGCTGTAGGACTCTGTCAGGAAGGGGATCACCACCTGGACATTGCCCTTGGTGCCCAGGGTGCCTGATTCAAGCAGCGGCTTCCGGTAGTACACACAGCGGCGGTCCATGTACATGCCTGTGGGAGAGGTAGGGAATGACAACAACATGAGAGCCAGGTAAAGCAGTATCAGGAAAGAAAGGTAAGATAGGTAGAGATAATAAGAATTCCCTAGCACACACACGCACACAGACACACACCCCAGTTTTGTCCTCAACCTCCTCACCCACCGCCCAACTCACGGGCATCCACGTTGTCCAGGGCATTGGCCACACCATCCAGAGTTTGGAAGAAATCGTCGTCATAGATGCGTTCAGTGTCAGGACCCACACGGTTCTGGTGGCTTATCACCCGGATGTGTGGGTTCATCTGATGCACAGCTGCAGCAGCCGTGTCAGACTTTAATTTCTAGTGGGGGGCCCGGGTAGAGATAGGGGAACAGAACTCAGTTATTGGTTCCTTCACCCTACAAACGTCTATAGAGAGCTGGCCTCCTGAGGACTGGTTTCCTCATGCTAGGGAAGATCAGACCGAGTTCAGGAAGCTCCCTGGTTTAGCCAGAGACAGCTCCGTGACAGGGCCATGTACCTGGGGCTGTGGCACATGGGGCTGCGATTCAGCAAAGAGGGAAAACAGATGTGTACACTGCTTCTTTTTCTACTCAACAGCTATTGTTCTTTCCACTAACCGCACCCAGGGTTGGAGTAGAAATCCTATCACAAAAACTAGAATGACGGCGCACAGACAAGCAGGATCTTTGCAAAGCCCCTCTTTGTTCAGAACCCTTTCCTGGCTCCCATGCCGAACGCCTAACACCACTTCCTGGAAAAAATTAAGCATGTCCTCCTGTGCAACTCTGCTGGCAGAGGACTCTTTCTTAGGAGAGTGAACCTGACTTCACTCCATGAACCCCTTCCCATAGCGGACTGGTATGTATCCATTCACTATAAATAGCCTTGGGACTGCTATCATGGTATAGCAAGTTAAGCCACTATATGTGACACTGGCATCCCATAGGAGCACTGGTTCAAGCCCTGGCCATTCTACTTCCGATCCAGCTCTCTGCTAATGCACCTGGGAAAGCAGCAGAAGACAACAATCCAAGTGCTTGGGCACCTCTCATCCACATGGGAGATCTAGGGTGGATGGAGTTGGAGTTGCAGGCTCTTGGCTTCAGTCTGGCCCTGCCCCAAGCCATTGCAGCCATCTGGAGAGCGAACCAGTGTATGTAAGACCTCTCTCTAACTCCACCTTCCAAATAAGTAATCTTTTTCTAAAACAAATTACAGTCTGTATACAATTACATGCTGAGTTCTGTGAATTTTAGTGACTCAAACTTAGAGCTGTCTTGGAGGGCCTGAACACATTGCCACAACCAGCACTGAGAAAAGGTCAAGGAGAACAGAAGGGCAGAAGTTTCTTGAATGAATGGCAAGAGAAACTGAGGGGAAGTAGAGCCAAAAGAAAGAAATGACAAAACCCCACCCTGGTTCATATGGTGCTCACCGTGACGTCCCAGGGCCGAAACAGAAACTGTCGATTCAGATTCGATTTCTCAATGGTGTCCATGTCTGTGACAATTATTTCTCCATTCTCCCCACAGCCCAGGCCAATCATGGCAAAGTTCTTGAGCAGCTCACAGCCAATGGCCCCTGCACCCACCTGAGAAAGAGCCAAGAAGAGACAGCCAAGCCAGTCAGCGTGATAGAAGGTTGGAGCAAAACCACCCATCACTCCTCACTGCCCCTGGAGCCAGCGGGAAGGGGAAAGAGGTTCTAGTGCCACATCTTTAAGTCCCAAGACCCACAGTCATTTGAGGAAGGAGGCAGCAGATAGGCGAACAGAGACACATGAGCCTCTCCTTTAAAGTGATGTGAGGTGGGTCTAAGAACAAAAAGGCCCTCCTTGCTGAGATACAGGAGGTGGCTCCAGCAGGGCTGGCCTGAGGCCAGGGGACGCATAAGCAGCAAGTGTCCAAGGGGCTCACTCACCAGGAAGTACTTCTGCCTGCCCAGCTTCTCTTGCAGGTCTGACCCAAATACAGCCACCTGTCCATCATAGCGGTTTTGGCGCTGCAGAATATGAAGGGTGGTGGTTCAGAGAGGGACCACCTCCCGTTGAGCTGACCCCAGTGACGCTTTCCCCACAGGCCCTCCTCACTTACCGGGAGGCACATATCCTCTGTGAGGGCCTCTTTGTCCTCAGGGAGACACTCAAGGGCATCAAAGTACAGCCACTGCATGATGGGTGTAAACTTCCCTGAGCAGGCCTGGGGATGGGGAAGGAGAGGGGAGGTGACCAGACATTAGCTAGGGCCTCACTCAGGTGGACAGGTGGTGGTGCCAGGGAAAACACCTGGTCCACACTCAACCCTCTCCCTCCCCACGCAGGCTCACCTTCATGACTTCCTGGGCAGCCAGGCCCCCAATGAAGGCATTGATGGGTGCCAGATCCCCAGCTGCCACATATGCCAGATTCCGGATAAGGTCTGTATCCAGGTTATCCTGCTGCACGGCCGACGAAGCTTTAGCGTTCACAGCCTGTGCCAGGGACACCAGCTGTGCTGCATCCTCCTGCAAAAATTAATTAATTAATTTAAAAAAATTCACAGAGAGGTCATAGTCAGACCACCAGGAGAAGAGGAGAGAGCTAAAAGGCTAAAGCCATGGTTCCACCCCAACCTGTACCCACCTCGTTGCGGGGCCGGGGTGGTCGGCCATGCTGAGCACAAAACTTGTGCAGGGCTTGGAAGCCAATGTGGAGCTGGGCAGGGCGAGCGAACTTGGCGAAATCCGTCACCACAAAGTCAGGCTCTGCCAGCGAAGCCGCCAGGGATTTCTGGGGTGGGATTGGAGACAGACAGGGCATCAGACCCAGAAGAGAGGGACACAAGAGGGGAAACTGCAGCGAGCCAGCACCCTGCAACACACTCACAAAGCCAATCTTCTTGGGTACTTTGACTTGACTGACGATGCCTCCACGTATATAATCAGAAAAGTTGGAGGTGTCGCAGATACTAAAGGTATAAGGACCTGGGGTAGATGGGGAAGCCGTCAGTCTTACCCATCCTCCCTAAAAGCCTACCACAACTGCAAGCTAAGAAATACAACTTGTTTTTCCCCAGCTCAGACCCCAAGAACCATCTCTGCCATCCAGGGTTCCACAGGGGAATCAGAAAGTATCTCATCTGTCCCGTATGCAACTCACATCCCACGTCAGCCTGCATCTCTGCTTCCTAACCCAATCAGCTCAAATGCAGACGGCTCCTAATCTGCCCTGGTCATATGCCAGAGACCTTGTCCCCCATTGCTCAGCTTCCCAGGAACCCAGCACCCCTAAGAAAGGCTTTGAGGCTAACAGTAGCCCTCCCACCCCACATCAGCTCTGCCCACACTGGGTAATTTTGTCTGTGGGTGGTCCCACACACCCAGGATGTGTGTGTGTGTGTCCCCCTTCCCTGGAAACCCAGGCACACACCTCCCCACTCTTTGACCCACTGGCCAGTGCCCAGGAGCCTAGCTGCTCACTCCCCCATGGCTCCCCCATGGCCTCAGCTCACCCAGGACTTTGATCTCTATGAGTTGATTTCCATTGAGCTCAGTCATGCCCTGTACTTCCGAAAAGGAGACAAAGTCACCACTTTCAAACCCGTGTCGGGCCTCATCCAGGCAGGTAACCACACCAGGGTTGTCCTAGTTAAAGGAGAAGTAGGCCTCAGAGGTGGGCTCGGGGTACCAGGAGCAGAGAAGTGGAGCAGCCACTGCCCAGCTGCCCTGCCAGGAACCCCAGAGCCTGATTTCCTCACCTTGGTGATCATAGAGACCATGGCACTAAGCGGCTGTTCCCCATTGGAATCCGTGAGGATCATCTCTTCTCCGAAGTCACAGAAGAGTTGCCTATAGAGCAAAACGGGGGCTCAGGCCCACAGCTCCCCCGCCCATAGGACCCACGTATCCCTCCACATGCAGTGAGTACTTGCTGAGCAAACTCAGTCCGTCACCGCTGTAGTTACTGCAGGAATCGGTTGGCACTCAGGCCACGTGGGGGACACAGCAGTGCAAAGAATCCAAAACCCAGGTGGCTAGGGGAGGGACAAGGGCACAGAGAGCCAGGGTGGGGGGAATCTTGGCCTAGGCCTGGAAAAGGTGAAGGACAAAGGCGGCAGGCGGGTGTGGCACTCACCCAAACAGGCCTCTTGTGTCTGCTACTACCAGCTTGATGCCACGACTGTGACAGAACTCGCCCACACGCAACTGGTCCTCCAGGGGGCTGTTAGTGAGGACAACCACCTGCCAAGATGGGGAGGTTCAGACTAAAGCTTGGGGCCTGGGATGGGGGAAAGCCTAGGGGGTGGAAAGGGGACAATGGAGGGCTAAGGGCCAGCCTCAAGGTCAAGCTGTCCAGACTTTCCGCTGCTTCAGTCCTCTTACAAACACAACATGCTGACTATACTGTGTGTCAGACTCCCCAAGGATGAGCCCTGGCAATGAGAAACCCAAATCCCGAGACAAGGCTGGGGAAGGTGAAGAGGCAGCCAGGAGGATGGAGTGTGGAGAACAGCTGACTCATTTTGTTTGACAAACACCTACTGCTGCCTGCCCACAACCTTGCCTTGCTGGTGCCCCATGAGAGGCGGGCGGGGTAAAACTGGCTCCAGCCGGAGTCTGAGCTCACTCCTACCACACCCACCTGCTCCGGATTCCCAGGACAAGGCCTGCTCAGTCCCATTCTTTCAGACTTTGCTCTCTGCCTCAATATGCCCATCCTGAGGCAGCAGGGTCAGAACCAACTGCTCCATCAGGATTCAGCTGCCCTGCCCTGGCTCCCTGGGTCACCCCGAAGCATCATGGGACTTTTTCAGCAACACCTCTATACTTCATAGCACGTGTCAGCTATTCAACCTTCCCCAGAACTCAGCGAGGTGAGGACGGCTTCCATGCTCAGTCCACAAACAAGAAAATGAATAGCCACACACTAAGGCTCTTACCATATTAGTAAGAGCCCAGGGTCCATGCAGGGCAGAGTGGCCCTGGGGTCCCCCAATACCAGCTACATGCACATTTCCTCTTTCCACCAAGGCCGGGTCCGATTGATATCTGACCCTGCCCACATCCTTTGGGTTCCTACAGCATGCAGCCTGGCATGCAGGGTCAGGCCACTAAGCAAGTGGTGATGACGTACGGCAGCCCAAAGACAGGCTCCAAGAAAAGGGCAGAGAAGGCTGTACCTGGAAGCCACTGAGGAAATCCTCAACAAGGGGTCCAGTGTAGGCACTGACGGGCACGTAGCTGTTGAGCTCGGCAAGGCGGGGCTGTGACACCTCAGCACGGTTTTTCCCAATGTCCTCCTCCCGCAGGTAGAACTGCAAAGGGATCAAGTTGGGAGGCAGGTGTGAGCGGCTGGGGCAGCCTGTGGCACTGCTATTGCAGCAGGAGGGAAATGGGCTGGGAAGAGGTACCTGCGAGGAGAGGTCAGCCCACTGGGCAGTGCCCTGGTCATGGAGGGTCACAGCCTTGACTCCACCAAGGATGATGTTCTTTGCAATCTCCACACCCAGGCCTCGCAGGCCTGAAACTAGTACACTGGATGTCTGGAGCCGCTTCATTGCATCATGGCCCAACACATACCTGCCAGGTGAAGGGGCACTCCAGGTCAGCGGCGGGCCCACCAAGCCTCCCGCCCACCCTGCTGGGCCCAGCCCTGGCCCCACTCACAGTTGCCGGGAGTAAAGGCCCTCATCGATATCTGCTTCGTTGCCGTTCCTCGCCATTCCCTGGGGGGGAGGGAGAGGAAACAGGGGGTCAGGAAGGGCTGCAGCAGCCAGGCACAAACAGTGGCGCCATCCTGCCAGTCTTTCCCCCAGGAGAGGGCAGACACTCACGTTGGTTGGCACCGAGGGCACTTGGGACAACACGGATTGGGAAGGGGAGCAGTTAGAACCCGGCTTTGGATCAGGCCCGGACACGCGACGTTTCTTGGACAGCGGCGAGCTGGACATCTGGAGGGAAAGAGGGCAGATGTGAGCACATGGGCACACCGTTTGGTCTGATGATGCCAATGGCGAGCAGGGGTGGGGCGGGGAAGACTTCAAAACACCTGTACCCCCATTTTACACAAGAGGAGACAGGCAGATGGGTGAGGTGACTTGCCCAAGGTCACTCAGCCGTCAGAGGTGACGTCTGAACCCAGGTGGCGTGGCTGGCAGATCCACGCAGCTCACCACTGAGCCAGCTGCCTCTCCCCAGCTCAGCGTAATGACGCAGAGACTCCTCCGATCCTGCGGGATGACGGGAGTAACGAGAACGGATTGGGGGAGAAGTCAGGAAAGGGGTGTGGGTTCAGGGGACAGAGATCCTGCTGCAAATCTTGAGCCGGCTATTCCTTGGAAGCTATGGGCCTCAGTTTCTTCATCTGTAAAATGGGATGTGTGCATGTGTGTGTGTCAGAAAGAATACCACTTACCTTTCCCATGGGATTGAGAAAAAAAACACAGACTATGGAGCCTGGCCCAGGGGGGTAGGCAAACAGTAATAAGCAGCCATTCTCCTCTCTCTCAATCCCATGGATGGCAGGGGAAGAGAGAGGAGCAGGGTGCAAGAGGAAAATGAGGCCTGGGCATCCACCAGGCTGGCATGATGTCAAGAGACACCGTGCATAGGGAAAATCCACTCCCCAGAGGGGCTTGGGGAGTTTTACAAGGCCCAATCCCAACTTTGAGAGGAAAACCAGGGCTCAGATTAAAAAACAAAAAACAAGAAAACACAAAGTTTCAACCTCTTGTGTACACTTGCAGCCCGTGAAACAGACTAAGGCCACTGGTGAGTGCTTGAACAGTCTCACTCTGTCCCAAGGTCCTCCCTGCGGGGTTGGGAATACCATGAATAGCTCCCAGCTCACAAGGCAGGGGGAAAACCAGAATGCATCCAGACACGCTGGGTGACCTGACCAAAATTCCCAGAGTGTGGCTAAGCTGGGACATCAGACCAGGATCTGCCGACTGAGAGGCTCAGGCAGGCTACCTCCTGCTGTTAACAGCGTTTAATGGCAACAGTTTTCACTCTGGTGAGCCAGGGGTCAGAGCCCTCACCCCTCACCGCACTAAGCCTCATCCTCTCAGGTAACCTGCTGAAGGTCCCTTGCCAGCTCCCGGATACAGAACAACAATCTGGCAGTGGTAGTGATGGGTATGGGTGTGTGTGTGTGTGACTCAATCCAGATGTCAGAGAGCAGGACCAGGACCCCTTTGCCTCGGAGCATGGGGCCTTTGCCTGCTTATACCTGAGCCTCCAGGTCATACACGTCCTCATACACTGAGTCCCTGCTGACACCTGCCATCAAGTGGACCTCAGATTCCACCTGCCTTTCCCTTGCACTCATCCCAGGGACAAGAGCTTCCTACCATCTAGCAGGAGCATCCTGCCTGGCAAGCCTTCACAGGGACAAGGCTTTGGTCTGATCCTGATGGTAAATGTGAACTCCATGACCTCACGCACACACCACAAACGGGCCAACCAAGGCTCAGGGCACGCTATGCGCTCACACAGTCATGCAGCTAACTGGTAGGGAGTTTGTCGAATGCCTCCTGGGTGAATGGAGTCGGGACTCAGCACAGAGCCCACCCTAAGAGCTAAGGGACACGAGGGGAGGGCGAAGGCTGGCTAGAGCCTCTAAGCCTGCCGGGTGGCCCACTGGCAATGCTAAAGAACCCACCTGGGCAGGAAGAGTCTTGGTGAGTTAGCAGAGAAACAAAAGCAACGCATACACCACTTACTGGCATTCTCATCTGGCGAAGGGGCTCACTGTCTCTGAGCCCCACTGTGTCTAACAGCTGGGACAAACGCACTGTCCTTTAAGGGGTTGCCGGGAGGCTTCAAGAAGCCACGATCTGTGGTCAGAACTCAGTGACCTGGGGACACGAGCTCTCGCGGAGGCACCTGCAACAGTCTGCGTTACTCATTTTGTGATCTCGCTTCATCACTGCTACGACACATCATCTCCTCACTCCCTGAGACAGGAGGAGGGGCCAGGGAACTCTGAGGCGGCTGCAACTTTTTACCTTGGGCTGCCACGAGTGGCAGCTTTGAGGTAAATGGTTCCAAAGTAGATCCCAATGCTAAATGTCTGGACCAGCCCTGTCTGAAGCAAGGCAGGTAGAAGGGCTCTGGGAGCAAGCAAAACAACCCCCCCTTCCCTGAAAAAAAAAAACCTGCCAAAGATCCCCCCCCACATGCAAAGAGGAAACAAAGCCCTAAATCAATCCTTTACCCCATTTGCTCAGCCTTCTCCTGTAATGACACATATCCTGGGAATTGCTTGCTAAAGCTTTCAACTGGGACTGAAAGTAACCTGCAAAACTTCTCCACGGGGGCGGGGGTGGGGGGACGGTATCAAACTAATCTTCAAGCCCCACTTACTGCATCCCCAAAGCAGCAGTGCTTGGGGGCGGGGGTGGGGAAGAGTCCCATGAGTAGGTCTGAAGGAGGTCTCCGGGGCCACAGGACCAGGAGAGGTGCTAAGGTAGAGGGGCCTGTCAAATTTCCCGGGGAAGTCCTTGGGAATACGAGAGAGGGGGAATCGGGCAAGCCAGGCTCCAACTGGGTCTCTGGAAAAAGGATCTTGAGGGGAGAGGGGCTGCAGAAGGTGTGGTGGAGGCTTCCAGAGGCTGCGACAAGGAGGGAGGAGGGAAGCAGGTGGACCTCACAGAAGCCATCACAGAGACTGGGTGGGCGATTGCTGCACCTGGAGCAGCTGCTGGGGCCTGCAGGGAGAGGTTATTCCCCAGCAGAAATCCTTGAGCAGTGGAAGAAGTACCCGTGACGTGGAGCGCCAGGAGGCAGCGCAGGTGGCTGCTGGGAGAGATCCCGGAGGACAGGTCTCAAAGGCAGGAGCCCCAAGGGGGCACAAGGACCTGCCCGTGTTGTCTCTGAGAGCACACACTGGGCTAGGTACCGCGGCTTGCACTGGGGAGAAGCTGAGTGCAGAGCGCCAACCTGAAGAAAGCCACACGAGTCAGCGTGGCGTTGCGTGGCTCCACGGGGACTCTGCACAAGCTGACAGCAGAAGCCAAGAATGGTTTTGGTTTTTTTTTTTTTTTTGCTACTCAAGGGGAGCCTAGCAGGGTCGGGGCGGGGGAGAGGGGTAGAAAGCAGACCTCTGCCAGCTGACATTTAGGGTCCTACGAAGCCAAACGGCCAAGCCTTGCAAAGCCTCTAACAGAAGAAGCTGCAGCCTTCGGCTGGAGAAAGAACAGCTGAAAGTAATGCACAGTTCGGGGCTGAGCTAGCAAGCTGAGTCCTCGGGGAAGGGGAGGGAGGAGGGAGAGCCAGGAGCCCACTCCCGGCTATTCAAGAGCAGATGGCCACGGGACATCTTTGCTGGAGGATTAGGTATCTCCCTCGGTCTGTCACTCCTCCTCCCCCCCCCCCATGTCTAGCCCCTGGGAATACCTGCTGGGGGTGGAGGGAGGGGAGAGAGACTACTGGGGAAGGTGCTGAGACCTGGGGAGGTGGGGACTTGAGGGGGAGGAAGACCCCCTACAATCGGAGAAAGCCTCTAAGGGTTTACTCTAGGAATGGAAGGAGTCTAAAGATGGATGCAGACAGGAGCTTGCAAACAGGAACGCTGGGGAAGCGGCGGGGGAAACGGCAGGGGTGGGGGGAGGGGCACGGACACGGACCCAATGGAGGATGCTAACACTGGGAGACGTGGGAGAGGGTCTCTGACAGGAAGGCTGGGAGCAAACAGCCTTTCAGAGGATGCAAGCCCGGAGTCTGAGGCTGGGGGGGTAGAGGTGCAGAAAGAACATGCTTAAGAGAAGGTTCTCAAAAATGCAGACCGTATGGTCTTGATCGCTAAGTTTGCCCCTCCCAAGCCAAGGCGGCAACACTGAAGCGCTAGCAGGCACGGCAAGGGAGATTTGGGGGGAAAAGATCCTTAATGCATGCCACAGCATGGGGCTCGGAACAGCAAGGCTGAGCACAGCGTTTCCCTTGGGAATGAGGGAGGTACAGCAATTGTGATCTGAAATGCAGGGATCGAGACAGGGATGGGTCCCTGACTACCGATCTTGGACGCTAGTCTCTAAATGCAGATCCCGGAGTTGATTAGATCTGGAAGCCCAAGGGAGTAAGGTGGTCCTAGCCCGAAAATTAACTCCCCACCGCATAATCGGCACCTCCCTCACACATCCCACCACATCCAGCCCGACCCTCAGTGCCCAAAGTCATCATGGCTCGCGCCGACGTCAGCCTAGCCCAGTGCTGGTTCATGCCGCTCTAATGCCTTCCCAAACCCTTGCCCCTGCACTGAGATAGGCTGTTTTTTACCAATGCCGGTTCCCCGGGTCGCGCCGCCGCCAACTCCTCAAGGAGCCGAAGCCAAGCCCGGCCGCCACCCTCCTCCTTCTCCCCACCGCCTCGGCCGCCTAGAATCGCCGCCGCCGCCGCCTCCTCCCCTGGCCGTAGTGGTTCTGTTCTTCACTGCTACCTCCTTCACCTCAGTCGCCGACACAAGATGGCGGCTGCTGAGCCCAAGGCCGGAACAAAACCTTGGGTTCCTCCCCCAGAAACCCGGATGCAAGAGGGCCGCGCCCATTCATGAATCATGTATAGTGCTCCGAAGCAGGTTATTACCCATTCTGTAAGAAAGTAAATGGCTCCCCCTGGTGGCTACTGTAGCGATCGTTAGGGAAACAGGTAAGTAGGCCACGCCCTACAGAACACGAAGGATGATTTAAGTGCTGCCATCAAGCTGCAACAGAAACCCAGACAGGACCTCAAGGCCATGCTTTCGATCATGAGTGCAATATGAAGCCGAGTGACTGGCCGACTAACACCCAGAAGCCAGAAAGCCGTTAAAACAAGGAAGTCACAGCCCCACTGCTCATGAATAATGCACGATCCTGCAGCAGCCCGGAAGCCAAGGAGACCAAGGCTACTTCTTAGTCATGCATAATGCATGAAAGGCCAGTGGGCTGGAACAAAAGGGGCGGGCCTGCCAATTGCCGCATCTAAATTGGGCTACCGCAGGGAGCACTAACTCCCTGTGCTCCTGAATAATGAATACTGCCGCAGTAGCTCAAGCTAGAGATTCAGAGAGGTCAAGAAAGGTTCCACCCACTTCATGACTTATGCATGACGCTGGCTGAGCAGAAACACTCGAGACGGCGCCGCCTAGCAAATAGGGATCACGGTAGTCTATGGAAAGTGACAGAACCACGCCTTCCCGTTCGTGAGCCCCCAGGGGGAGTGTAGACCCTTCCTCCATCCCCCATGTCTCCGCAGCACCTCCCAACTAAGTGCTTAGGAGCTAGTGCTGCTTTAATGCATCCGAATGCAAACACATATGCCTTTGGCAGGTTCCTCAGTTTCCAGAACCGTTAAGATCGGAATAATAATCCACCTCATACAGATGAAATGTGAGCTTATGAAAACCAACGAGTAGGAACAGTGGTGACTCGACGCTCTGTTGAATTTCTTAAGAAACAGAAACACAACAGGCCAAAAGTTTAAATAAGCACAAAATCGGTTATGCGTAACTATATATACCCAGCTACTAGAGGAATCGTCAGTGGGGGCTGCTGTTCCCCCGGCTAGAAGAGGGGATGATAGCGGTAACTTACCTTGTCACAGATTTTTCAATCAGTAACTATGTAGAAAGTTCAAAATGGTGCTTGATACATACTTGAGCGGTATGGGGCTAGCACTGGGAGAAGCGCTCTTATATAGGGTGGGGGACCCATTATGACGGTTCCGTTGCTAAGATCACGGACGCCGGAAGTAGAATCATTGGAGTTTTAATCCTGACTTAGCCACTCACAGACCATGTAACATTAGACAAATGTTGGGCCCGGCGGCGTGGCCTAGCGGCTAAAGTCCTCGCCTAGAACGCGCCGGGATTCCATATGGGTGCCGGTTCTAATCCCGGCCACTCCACTTCCCATCCAGCTCCCTGCCTGTGACCTGGGAAAGCAGTCGAGGACGGCCCAAAGCCTTGGGACCCGGCACCCGCGTGGGAGACCCGGAAGAGCTCCTGGTTCCTTGCTCCGGATCGGCGCAGCACCGGCCGTTGCGGTTACTTGGGGAGTGAATCATCGGACAGAAGATCTTTCTCTCTGTCTCGCCTCTCTGTATATCTGACTTTCCAATAAAAATAAATACATCTTTAAAAAAAAAAAAACATTAGACAAATGTGTCTTCCCGTGCCCTAGTTTTCTCATCTGTGAAGTGGGATAATAATAACCTAGCTGCGAGGCTTGTTGTGGAGATTAACTAGGCTAATAAAGTGGCTCCACGAGTGTAAGCTAGTCATTATTCTGAGGCCTTTTTTTTTTAAGGCTCACAGATTTACCAAACATCACACCACGGGCGAGGACGGATTTGAGTTCCTAGCCTCCGTCAGCAACCTGGTATGACAGAGCCTTCTAGACTGTTCAATGCACACGGCGTCGTGCAGCCTCCAGATGCACCACTGAAACCCTGCAGCCTGCAAGCTACGCACCGACGGAGCAGGGATGGAGCCGGGGCGGGAGGGGGAGCACGGAGCCACTCCCCTCATGAATTATGCACCAATCCATAGGGAACTTGAGGCGCTGCTCACCTCACGAACAATCAGTACACGACAGCTTCCCGTGCAAAATCAAAACACCCCTTCAAGCACGCGGACCCAGCCCCTTTTCAATGATTTCCAGCCCCGGCGTCCGGGGCATCAGTCTCGAGGGAAGCCCTGGCTTTCCGAGCGCAGCTCCGCCT